AATCAATGAAGAATACAAAATGCATAGTGCTTTCCCGTCCAACATATATCTAACCCTTGCCAATATCGATATATTTTTAGCTATTTTGTGGTGAACATATCTGATATGAGATTTCCAGGAGAATTTGTCATCAAGTATGACACCTAGAAATTTAATTTCATATACTCGTTCGATATCAACTCCCCCAATTTTCTTTCAATTGAAGTTCATCATCTAGTCTACGATTCCCAAGTACCATAAATTTAGTTTTATCCAAATTCAGAGATAATATATTACTATCACACCATTTCTTTATCTTCTCAAGTTCCTGTGAAACCCGTCCAGAGAGTTGCTGTAGGTTTTCACCCTATGCCCATATGGTAGTGTCATCAGCAAATAAAACCACTTTCACTAAATCAGAAACCTTACATATATCATTAATGTATAATATAAATAATTTAGGTCCCAAAACAGAGCCCTGAGGCACTCCACATACAATATCCAGCTCACTCGATTGGTATTCACCCAACTTCACAAATTGACGCCTGTGTCAAATAACTTCTAATCCATTTCAGAACCATTCCTCTGATCCCATATTTTTCTAACTTATCCATTAATAACTCATGATTGATTGTGTCAAATGCTTTTTTTAGGTCAATAAATATTCCTATCGTGTATTTCTTCTCATCCATAGCACTTGTAATGTCCTCCATCAGGTCGGTAATGGCCAAAGATGTCGATCGGTTCGACCTAAAACCGTATTGGCAATCAGAGAGGATTTTATGTCTATCAATAAATGTATCTAATCTGTTATTAAAGAGTTTTTCCAGAATTTTTGAAAATTGTGACAACAGAGAAAGCGGTCTATAATTTGTGAAGTTGTGCTTATCACCAGATTTATACAGTGGAATAACCTTTGCTATTTTCATATTATTGGGGAACTGCCCAAGTCGAAACGACATGTTAAAAATATGGGTTAATGGTTTGCATATCCCCTCAATTACCCATTTAACATTTGTCATACTGATACCATCACTAGATGTTTTGTTACCACATTTATTCACTATCTCTATAATTTCCTTTTCAACTATGGCCTTCAAAAACATAGAACTCATGCCTGGATGGAGGAAAAGCTAAGGTGTGGAAGGCTGCCCAGCTTTGCTGCACTGCTTGGCAGGAGCCCAGTTAAACAAACAGACATGGACTTTCTCATTCAAAAGTAAATGTTAATAGCACCAAAATAGTTAAGTACCGCAATGCCAAACAATGCTGTATGATCTTTATTCTCTCATTCTCTATTTCTCTGTCTCTCTCAATCTTTGTAGTTTCTCTCTTGGTCTTTCCCTTCCTTAATGCACAGCACTAATGCAAAGATGATAGCATGAGATGGTCAGAAAGCAAATAATGAAAGGAAGAGGCTTGATCTGCAGACTGACATGGGTTGCTCTTTGCACTGCAGTGTTGTGTGTGTGTGTGTGTGTGTGTGTGTGTGTGGTTTTGTAGGCTTATTTAATGTGCCGGGGGAATCTGAGTATTTATAGCAGCCTGTGCTTGTCCCGCTTCCAATTTGCATAGGGATTATATCCCACTCAAACTTTGTGGAGGTGTGTGCAAGATAAAGCAGAAGACAAAAGATGGATAGAAAGAGACAGTTTGCAGCAGCAATACGAGAGAAAGGTAGGGAGAATATGAAGAAGAATCTGTCTGTCTGTCTCCTCCTCACCCAGGAGGAGACAGACAGACACCTTTGCTGGCCAGGACCCTTCACATAGTGAAGCATACATGTACTGCAGTATAGCCTCCCCCATACTGAGTAACACCAGGAGTGTGTAGGCTGGCAGGAAGATTTATGGTATGGCTCTTCCTGTACAGTAATACAGATTCTTCATACACATACAGAGGATGGCAACATGAAGTCCCAGTGGACTAGAATGATGACTTGGCTTTAAAGTAGGCCAAGGACCAGATTGAAGGACACACACGCACACTGAGTCATTTTCACTCTCATCTTCATTCTCTGCAGATTTTTCAATAATAGCAGATTAATCTGGTGAAATGAGTAGTTCTAAGATTTCGTCAGTTGTCCTGCCCCATTTCCCTTCTACCCCTTCATCTCTCTATTTCTCCCTCTTTCTCTTTTTATCCTGCCTCAGGGCTGACAGAGTGTCTTTGGTTATGTTTGACCTTTGGGAGGTGAAAGGAGGGAGGAGGATGGATTTATAATACCATACAAAGACATATAGAGCTATGCTGAGAAATATTACTAAATGACTGACAACTTTCCAAAGTCTGCTCTTCAGACATGGTTGAACAATGATGCATTTCCAATTACTGGGAAGTGTTGTTGCAAATGGACACATGCCTGGTGACATTGTGACTCCGTGACTACTTGAGAGAGATGAGTGGTATTATTGTGCAGGCACAGCCAGGAAGTGTGTTTGAGGCTGCTCATTGACAGCTTCTCTCTGGTCTTCCTGCGTTCACATTGCAGTTTTGTCCCCGTGGTGCAACCGGAACACTCTATGCCTCTTTTTCAGGTCGTTTTGTGAAAACCACAAGCCACACGCTGTAACTGGAATGTTAAAGATAATAATAGACGGGGAACACAGTTTGTTTAGAGTATTTCATGACTTAACCTCTCAGTTTCAGAAGCACGAGTGTTTAAGTCTTTCTTATGTTATGCAGAACTGTGTTTTTATTCTGTCTTTCTCTCTTGTGTCTTCAAGAAGCATGTTCAAGTGACGAGAGGAGGAGGAAGTGGGATCTCTGACCCTCCGCCCCCCCAGCTGGTGGAGCACCCTGCACATCTGACAGAGACCCCTATATTTACTGGGACAGGTATGATGGGCCTCTATGGAGTGAAACATTTTGGTTTTGGCACAGGCTGAAATCGTGACTGCATCTGCTATCAGTTGGTGCTCTCGTGCTTCAGCATCAGAAGCTTGTTGATGCACCAGCTGAAGTGTAACAGGCAGTCATATACAGTACCAATATACTGTAGGTGACGGCCGTTATGAGTTGATCTGAGATAAAGTTCAGGTTTTTCAAGTTTATCTCAAATATGTATATACATAATGTATACATACTTACAGTAAAGAGTTTGGAAGTAGCAACTTCTCTTCTATTGAGCTCATGGGACAAACGACACGATTCAACACAGCATAAATGTCATTATAAATACAGTATATTAAAATGTCATTAAAGCTACATAAAATATTTAAATACATACAGGTAAATGAATTGACAAACTCTATATGCCATGTAAAAATATGAATCAGCAGAGGTTTACCATTCAGGTGTCAGATTTATAATTCTGTTTACTGTATAGCTATTTAAATGTATTAGGATTTAGATGTTATTGCATGGAAGATGGACTTGGTGATTGTTAATATTCTAGCTGTATTTTTAAGACAGCTGAGAGATGATTTACCGACCAGACCTGTGGGTAGTGATTAACTGCCTTTCCTAGGGTTTCAGACACATTGCAGAAGCTTGCTGACACAGTGTTTTTGAATCTTTCCCCTCAGTTTGAGGATGATCTCTGTTTTTGCTGCATTGCTAGCTGAGAATTAATCTGTGTGTCAGCTCTTGATGAGATGTCACGCTTGCACCAGCTTGTCTGTGTGCAGTGGAGGGTTTACAGATTACACAATAGCTCTAGCTGCTTTACAGTGCTAATCAGGTGTGTTCTTTTGGTTTTCCTATCATCTCAGATATAGATATGCCAGTGTGGTTGTTTTTGTATGAGCTTATGAAAAGTGTACACAATAAATACTGTAGTGTATGGCCTTTGGATATTGTTTACAGATGGCCCAAGGTCAAGGTAGAGAGAGAGTGTGTGTAGTCTTGGGTTTAATTTCCAAAGAACCAGAGATGGAAAAAAAAGCTTCCTTATTCCATAGTATTTTAATTTGTTGTTGATTTGAATAAAAACTGATGTGGGTGGCATATTGATAAATAAATTCATTGTTCTATTATATTGTAGAACGATGCAGATTAACTCCAGTACTACAGTACTTGGCTGCTGAACAGATACAATGCAAGGAAAACCACATTATCCATTTAGCAATGTCTGTGTTTGTATGTAGTATATCTCCGCAGATTCAGGTGTTATGCACAAGTTTGACAAATGCTAAACATGATTGTTGTAAAGGATTTACGAGCTCTAACAGGTTTCAAGTCTCTGCAAGTTGATTCTTATTATACTGTGTTAAATTAGATGTTAACCAGCGGCTGACTGGAAAGTAAGAAAGGGAAAAAAAAAAGCTTAGTATAGATTGTGTGCTTTGGAAACAATTTGGGAGTTTAATAAGAAAAAAGTATTCAGACTCCTTTTTTGCCATAAGTTTAATGTCAGAAGTATAAAACTGCCATTTGTGCTCATCAGTCTACACTTGGTAACCCTTATTGGCCAATGTAAAGACGTGTTTTTAGACATTTTGGAAAATGTATTAAAAATCAAACGCTGACATTTCTCCATACCATTATCTGAGATCTTTGCGGAAGGTCCTCTGGCAGTGATTATAGCTTTGAGTCATCCTGGGTGAGTCCCTACAAGCTTTGCACAGCTGGTTAAGGACCAGGATTTATCCCATTCTTCCTAGCTCCATCTGATTGGATGTGAAGCATCAGTGAACTGCCATCTTCAGTTCAGATATTGCATGTGGTTAAGTCAGGGCTTTGGCTGGGTCACTCGGGGACAGCCGTGTAATGAAATGTGGTGAAGCCAGTCTGGTGTTGTCTTGGCTGTATGCTTCAGGCCGTTGTCATGCTGAAAGGTGAACTGTCACCTCAGTTTCAGGTCATGTGCACTCTTGAGCAGCTTTTCTGCAAAGACCGTTTTGTATTTTGGCTGCATTCATTCATCCCTCAGTTGTAACTAGTCTCCCTGTCCCTGCTGATGAGGAACCCTCTATAGCATGATGTGGCCACCACTGTGCTTCACTGATGGTGTTAGTCAGGTGATGAGCAGCGCCTGGTGTTTTGCCCAAAGAGTTAATTTTGTGTCTCATCAGATCACGCAAGGTTTTTCCTCATGTTCTGAGTCATTGTAAAGCCATTTGTATTAATTCCAAGCAAGCAACGGCTTCCATCTAGTGTTACTCAATCCTTGGCTTTCTGTATACTGGGATGGTAACGCTACTTTTTCACACAGTGGGAAAGGTTTGTTTCCTGTCCTTAGTTCACCACCCTGATATTTTACAGCAGATGATTGCTCTTGTGTTTATCCAGCTTTAAAAATTGAACTATTTCCAAATCACAGCTTTTGTGTGATCTGTCTTTGCCACAGTTTCATCATCGAGTGCAGCCGATTGACTCTTTTCATGGTTGCTCGTTTTTATATTTCTTTACCTTGCTTTAGCCTTATAAATGTTATCTAATGGGGGGACTGTGCATTGAGCTTATCCAAATGTAGAACTGATATGTTTATCAATCAAAAATTACTCATCATTTTATCACTGTTAACATGGCCATTTTTTCATAATATTTTATCACCCAGCTATACATATAGTAAAGACTTATCTGACCATATAGGCCAGACACATAATTCTGCTGGGTCAGAGAGCTCAGGCTGCAAGTATTGTGATTTGATCTGGGTGTGTGTGACCATGCTAACTGAATACAGTATTATATTTTTTTTCCTTTGGCTTTGTCAGTCGGCGTCAAAGTCTTTTAACCTTTGCATGTTTGTGAGATGAAATCATGTCTCTATGAGAGAAATAATGGCGTATGAATGGAGAGTAAATATTGGATTATGAGTTTTTAACACTGGCGTTACTGGCATCACAGTCCAAGAGATGATGATGTTCATGTGTTCTTCTGTCTGTTGTAAGTTATTTATTTTATGCATAAGCTGCTGTGTGCCTGTATTGTAGGCCAGCAGCTGCGCACTCTCTCAAGCCTTAAGGGGAACACCCCCAGTGTCGATAATGTGTAATGATTTTGGCCGAAAAAGCCCAATTGATTTGAGATGGAAGAGTTTAATTCATCTCTGTACCTGTGCCAAGCTTTGCATTGGTAATCAATTTCAGCTGGGACTTTTAATGGGTTTTTTTGTTTTACTCTTTGCCTATATTGTACTACGTTTGCAACCTTTCTCTTTCTGTCTTGGCACTCTTCTTCTACCAACCAATACTTGATTTTTGAGGCTATCGCAATATCACTATTTTAATGTTTAAAAATATGATTATAACATACAATATATTACTCCGTATTCACTTTTTTTACGTCGACACAACAGTTTTGATAAGGCTCCCAGAACAGCAAACAGAATGAAGTTGCACCGGTTGTACGTGACGTCCATGTCTTCTCTGTTTCTCATAGTTTTGTAGTTATTGTAGGAAAATTTGAGACAAGACTATTGTCCTGTGTTGCTGTCTACAAAGACTGATCGTTCCAATTAACAACATTTAGGGAGTAGCCTTAAAATTCAATATCGGTGTGAATCAAAAACATAGAATATACAACCATGAATATGTTTCTGCTCTTTTTCAATAATTATTATTGAACGAGAGCAATAGTTAATGTATTATGAAGAAGTGTACTAACTTCTATGATGTTAGGGAGAGTGGTCTTTATTTGAGGGGGAGTGACCAACTTTTGCTATAAAACACTATAAGAAACATTGTAAATGGATGCATTGCATAAATATGATTAATATATTCTGTACATTTATGAATACATCCACAGACACACTAGGTATACTCTGTGTTTTCTCTGTTTTCCTCTCTGTTAAAGAATTAATGGAAGGTTTCTCTCTCTGTCTTTTGCCTTTTTCTGTCCCAGTCCTAGACTCACTGTCTTTCCTCTATGGGACCAGTCAGGTGTTTTTTTTTCTTCTTTTTTTTTTTTTTTCAGGTTATGGTCTGAAAATGAAGTGACCCTGGACTTTTTGTCAGGAACATTTATGTACCCCAGCTGTGAATAGAGAGCAATGGAAATGAGGTTTCAAGCCATCTTGTTCAGTTTCATTTCGCTAATATTAGCCCCTGCCTTGTTCTGCTCCAGTTGAGTGAGACATTACGACAAAATCACCGCTCCCACCAGTGTTGTCTTGGAAACTGTTGAGCTTATCAAGCCCAAATGACCCAAGGACAGCTCGCACTCTTCAGTAGCATCTACTCTGGTTTTCTCGCTGAAGATGCTTCAGGCAGCAGCATGCAGTTTTACACAGTTGTTTAGGAAGTAGTTAGAATAAAAGGTTTGGTATAGAATAAACTAGACCAGAGAAAGAGCTAGAAAAGATGCTATGTTAGCAGTTTATCATATAATTTACCATCACAACCTTTGTGTTGATTAGTAACACACGCATCCTCCACTCTCTCATTGGCACTCACTCATATAAATACCATTTCCCTCCCTTCCTTTTAATTTTCCTTCTGTGCATATAAACATTTCCACAGAAGGGAGGCTTCTTGCTCTTGGTCATAAATTGTGAAGCTGTAGATCCTCTTGCTGTTAGTTTTTTCCAAGTGGTTGTGAGAAACACTGGTTGTGCGGTCTCTAAAGGGGGATTAAGCCTGTGGAGAAGGGGAGAGGAGGGGATGTGAAGAGAGACACAGAGAAGGATGTGAAGGGGGAAATTGTGTTCCTGTAGACCCGCTCTTGAAAGGAGCCGGCATCACTAAGAGATGAACAAGGGAGTGTGGGGGTGGGGTGGCTGGGAAAGAGAGTGAGATGCCCAGGATCCAGGATGGAGATATAAAAGAACGACAGAGGGAACGTGATATGTTAATGGATTAGTAAGAGAGCATGGAGACAGAGGGATGGAGAATTGTGTGTCTGTTTAATGTCATTGGGGGCCAAGCTGTTTTAAAAGAGACTTCAAAAAGACAAGC